GAATTCCCCAGCCAGGTGCTGGCTAAGGAATTCTGGGAGTTGAAGTCCACCCCTCTTAACGTTGCCAAGTTTGAAAAACACTGGACTTCATCTCCCAGAATTCCCCAGCCAGGTGCTGGCTAAGGAATTCTGGGAGTTGAAGTCCACCCCTCTTAACGTTGCCAAGTTTGAAAAACACTGGACTTCATCTCCCAGAATTCCCCAGCCAGATGCTGGCTAAGGAATTCTGGGAGTTGAAGTCCACCCCTCTTAAAGATTGAAAACTTTGGAGGATCTGGAGGATCAAACTCCATGGGACAGTTCATTTTGCATTGTGGCAAAATGAGGATTTGATCCTGCATTTCCCCAATCCTTGCCCATCAGTTAAAAGCCAAATTGGAATCCTACATCTGGGATCTTTAACTGAAAGCAGGTGGATTTATTTCTGTCTCCTTGCCGATTCAAACAGAATACCCCTTCCGGTCAGCTAGAGAGCTGGGAGGTAGGGCTTTCATAAATTCAAGGGGTCTTAAAAAAATTTTTCCAGGCAAAGAGGTGGCACGCTAAACTAACATCCTTGCAAATTTCTGTGTCTTGGAATCCAGGTTCCTAGATGAATATTCTAAATACAACATCACTTTCTGGGCAATCTCTTCTCAGAACGAGCCGTTCACCCCCACTTTTATGCCTATAAAGGATTTCCCCAGCAATTATTTCTCACCCCAAACACAGCGTGACTTTTTCATTAAGGACCTGGGGCCTGCCCTTGCTGCCAGCTTCCACAGAAACGTCCACCTGATCACCCTGGACGACACGAGGGTTCTCCTGCCAACATGGGCCAACGTGGTAAATGTTCACCTTGTCCAAGTGGGTCCATCTCCAAACTTTCGGCCGCGTCTACACGACGAGGCGCCCAGACTTTGGATCTGAACCAGGCGGGGTCTCTCCAACGCTTAGATCTCGTCTCCACTAGCAGGCATCCAAAATCTGGATGTTAACAAGGGTCCTGCTCCAAACTTTAGATCTCAGGTACCGTAGGACATATCCAAATTTTGGATCTTGACTGAGAAGGTGCCTCTCCAACTGTGGAGTGCCTCTCAAGCAGGACCTCTCCAACGTTGACATGCTGGTGGAGAATTTGGGGAGCTGGGGGGCCGAAAGGTCTCAAGGACTAGGTTGGGAACGATGGGTGTGGAAAGGTCCATTGAGGTTCTTCTTCCTCTCTCTGTCCCCGGGCAGGTGATTGGCAATCATAGCGCTGCTAAGTTTGTGTCGGGCATTGGAATCCATTGGTACGTTGACCCCGTTGTCCCTCCAGGACCCACTTTAGAAGCCATCCATCGCCTCTACCCCAATGTCTTTATGCTGTACACAGAATCTTGCAACGGGTTTCTACCTTGGGACGTGAAAGTTGATCTGGGAAACTGGAAGCGAGGCGTCGCTTACAGCCGAAATATCCTGACGGTAAGGCCCCATCGCTACAGCCAAAGATCTGCGTCTTTAACGATAGGAGTAGATACGTTTGCTGCCTTGAGTTATATATAAAAAAGGCAGGAATAACAATAAATAATAGTAAGGATAAGGATAAGGATAAGGATAAGGCTAAGGAGGAGGAGGAGGAGGAGGAGGAGG